TGCTTTTCCGTTCTTTAGTGATCTAATTCCTTGCCTAACTTCGTCTTTGCTGGTGGGCTTTGTATTGATTTCTTCTATTTCTGGGATATCTGCGTCAATCATCAATGGGTTCGTTGGGGCTTCGCGGTTCAGGATCTCTTCAAAGTATTCTTTCCAGCGGGTTAATCTGGCTGAGTCTTAGGGAATGGTTTTCCCTTCTTTGTCGTTAATGGCGGTGGAGTTGCGTGGCTTCTCATTGCAGATAGATTAAGTTATCTCGTATAAGGTTTTCATGTTACCCATGTCCGCTGCTTTTTGTGCATCGTCCATTTGGTCGTTGAGCCATTTCCGTTTGTCTTCTTTGAGGTTCTTCTTAACTTGTTTGTCTTTAATCTTATATTTTGCCCGGAGTTGATTTTGGATCCTCTTTGACTTTGCGTTTTCCATTTGGATCTTCAGGTGTTTTCTCTCTTCGATCGTTGACCAAGAGGCTTGACTGATCCATGGTTTGCTGTTTTTCTTTTTCTTACCTACTAGTATTTTTTCTGCCGTGTTGTTATAAGCTTTGTTGAAGTGGGACCACTTAGTATCGATATCATGTTCATGTTCCTCTTCCTATTCCTCTTCATTGTCATCAATTGACTCGAGGACTGAAAACTGGTTGCGAAGTTCTATTGAAAATGCTTTCCTAATTGACTTGTTCTGTAGTTTACAATTGTCATACTTAGTCCTTGTGCTGGTAGGCCTGGTGATTTTCTTTAGCTTGCGCTTTACCTTGGTTCTAATCAGTTGGTGATCTGATCCGACGTCTGCGCCTCTCAAGACCCTTGTGTCTTGAACTGATCTTCTAAGCTGCTGGTTTACTAGTACATGACCGATCTGGCTCTGTGTTCTTCCATCAGGGGACGTCCAGATGTTCAATTTTGTGGATTTCTTTGTGGGTAAATAGTGCTCCTGTGATAATAAGGCTGTTCATCTCGCAGAAGTTGGTGAGCCTTTCACCAATGTTGTTTATCGCTCCTGTTCCTTCTTTTCCCATAATTATTTCCCTATTTCTGTTACATGATCCGACTTTTGCGTTCATGTCTCCGGTTACCAGCAGGAGATAGTGTTTAGCTACTTTCTCAACAATACTTTGTAGTTGTTCGTAAAACTGCTCCTTGTCTTCGTCTTCTGCGTCAATATACGTGCATATATCGTCAATATACGTGCATATATCGTCAATATATACGTGCATATACGTGCATATATCGTCAATATACGTGCATATATCGTCAATATTGGTGC